AATGTTCCAAACCCCGGGCCTACATGTTCTCTTGAACCCTGGCTTACATTTTTCTCTTGGACCCTGACCTAATGTTTCTTGGGCCTGCCTACATGTTTTCTTGAACCCTGGCCTTTATGTTCTTTTGGACACGGGCCCTACATGTTTTTGGACCCTGGCCTACATTTTCTTTTGGACCCGGCCTACTTGTTTTTGGCCCTAGGCTACAGTTCTCTTGGACCCTGGCCTCATTTTCTTTGGTCGCGGGCCCTACATGTTCTCTTGGACCGGGCCACATGTTCTTGCTCAGGCCTACAGTTTCTTGCCCCAGGCACATGCTCTTGGACCCAGGCCTAATGTGCTTTTGGACCAGGCCCTACATGTTTTTAGCCCCGGGCCTACATGTTTCTTGGACCCAGGCCTAAAATCCTTCCCCGGTACCTATCTTAACCCGGCCTTATGTTCTCTTAGACCCGGGCCCTCATGTTCCTTAACCCCAGGCCACATTTTCTTAGACTCGGCCTACATGTTCTCTAGGACCCAGATCCAGGATGAATCTTCCCTTTTTGTTCGGGTGTTTTGTAGTCTATCTTTCAGTTTTTTTAAAGGCAGAGTAGAAGCGTGGGCCCACCGACATTTTTAAAAAGGGCTAGACGTGGGGCCCTGCGACCCCTAGTTTTAGACAGTGTCTCAGTGGGTAGGCACTGTGCTCAGTAGTAGGCACTGTTCTCATTAGGGTGGCACAGTGTCTCAGTAGGTGGGGCACAGTGTCTCAATAGGTAGGCACAGTGTCTCGTAGGTGGGGACTGTCCAGTAGGTAGGCCTGTCTCGTGGGTGGCTGCCCAAGAGGTGGGCACTGTTCAGTATGTAGGCATTTCGGGGTAGGCACTGTGTCTCAGTAGGTAGGATGTGTTGTAGGTAGACACTGTGTCTCAGGGGTAGACCTGTGTCTCAGTAGGTAGCACTCTCAGTAGGTAGACACTGTTTCAGTAGTAGACACTGTTCAGTAGGTAGGCACTCAGTAGGTGGCTCTGTCTCAGTGGAGGCACTGTGTCTCAGTAGGTAGCATTGTGTCCAGTGGAGACATGTCTCGTGGGTAGACACTGTCTCATTTGGTAACAGTTCGTAGGAGCACTGTGTCTAAAGTGGTAGAATGTGTCTAGTGGTAGACACTGTGTCTCGTAGGTAGACACTGTTCTCAGTAGGTAGAACTGTGTCTCGTAGGTTGACAGTTCAGTGGGTAGACAGTCTCAGTAGGTGGGGGGAAGTCCAGTGGTAACAGTCTCAGTAGGTAGACACTGTGTCTCATAGGTGACACTGTGTCTCAGTAGGTGAACTGTGTCTCAGTAGGTGGACACTGTTCTAGTAGGTAGACACTGTCTCAGAGGTAGACAGTTCTAGGTAGACGCTGTGTCTCATGGGTAGACACTGTGTTCAGTAGGTAGAAAACTGTTCTCAGTGGGTAGACACTGTGTCTCAGTGGGTAACACTGGTCTCAGTGGGTAACACTGGTCTCAGTAGGTAGACACTGTGTTGTAGGTAACACTGTGTCTCAGTAGGAGCACTGTGAGTAGGAAACCTGTGTCTCAGAGGTAACATGGTCTCATAGGTGACAGTCTCAGTGGGTAGAAGTTCAGTAGGTAGACACTCAGTAGGTAACACTGTTTTCCCGTAGGTAGACATCTCAGTAGGTAGACACGTGTCTCAGTGGGGTGACACTGTTTCGTAGGTAGACACGTGTCTCAGTAGGTAACACTGTGTCTATGGGTGGACAGTTCATAGGTAGACTTCTCAGTAGGTAGACGTCTCAGTGGGTGACAGTCTCAGTGGGTAGACAGTTCAGTGGGTTGACATTCAGTAGGAGAAGTCTCATAGGTAGACATCTCGTAGGTAACTGTGTCTCATGGGAAGACACTGGTCTGTGGGAAGACCTGTGTCTCAGTGGAAAGCCCCCTGTGTCTCAGTGGGTAGACACTGGTCTCAGTAGTAACACTGTGTCTCAGTAGGTAGACCGTGTCTCTTGGTGACACTGTGTCTCAGTGGGTAGACACTGGTCTCAGGGGGGAAACACGTGTCTCAGTAGGGACACGTGTCAGTAGGTGGGGACACTGGTCTCAGAGGTGAACTGTGTTCAGTGGTAGACACTGTCTCAGTAGGTAGACACTGTTAGTGGGTAGGGCACTGTCTCGGTGGTAGGCACTGTCTCGGTAGGGTGGGCACTGTTGGGTAGGTAGGCACTGTGTTCAGTGGGTAGGCAGTGCTCGTAGGTAGACAGGTGTTCATGGTGACGTGGGTCTCAGTGGTAGACATGTGTCTCAGTGGGGAGAATGGTCTCAGTAGGTAGACACGTGTTCAGTAGGTAGAACTGTGTCTCGTAGGAACACTGTTTTCGTAGGTAGACCGTGTTCTGTAGGAGACACGTGTCTCAGTAGGTAACACTGTGTCTCATGGGTAGACACTGTGTCTCATAGGTAGACACTGGTTAGTAGGTAGACACGTGTTCGTAGGTAGAACTGGCCAGTGGTAACACGTGTCTCAGTAGTAGACACTGTGTCCATAGGTAGACACTGTGTCTCAGAGGAACACGTGTTCATGGTAGGCACGTGTTAGTAGGTGGCCTGTGTCTCGTGGGTAGGCATGGTTCAGTAGGTAGGACTGTTCGTGGTAGGCACTGTCTCAGTGGGTTTAACACTGTCTCAGAGGTAGACACTGTCTCAGTGGGTAGACACGTCTGGTGACACTGTGTTCGTAGGTGACACTGTTCTCAGTGGGTAGCACTGTCTCAGTAGGTAGCACTGTGTTCAGTAGGTAGACACTGTGTTCGTGGGTAGAACTTGTTCAGTAGGTAGCACTGTCCAGAGGTGGGGCACTGTCTCAGTAGGTAGACACTGTGTCTAAAGTAGAACATGTGTCTCAGTAGGGACACTGTGTTCAGTAGGTAGACACTGTGTCCATAGGTAGAACCTGTGTCTCAGTAGGTAGCACGGGTTTTCCAAAATAGACACTGTTTCTCAGTGGGTGACCTGGCTTGTCTGTAGAGGAACTTCAGTCTGACATTCTTTTTCTTCACTACCTTCCCTTCAATTCTCTTGACATGCACGGGTTTAAAGGGGATTCCCAGATTATATTTTGCACTGGACATAAAAATTTTTTGTCCTTTAAATTTGTTTTTTGTGCCCAAAAAGGGATGGCTTAGTTTTTCTGAGTGTAACGATAGTTTTCTACTAACCATTTTCTGCAGGACCTGTTCCAGGTTTTTACTTTTGCTATATCTTGTGGGGGTTTTTTCCAGAACCTGACATGATGGGGATGTGGGTTTACATAACTTGAAATAAGGGACCCCGAATATACCTTGGGGAACTCCACATGCTATCGCAGGAGTCCTATTCTGTTTTGTTTTTTTTGACAAGTTTCCTGCCGTAACTTGAATTTCTTAATAAAAATTGTGGTTTACGTTCGAAGGCCTTTTTCAAATCTAAAGGGTTTCCTTCATGAGGTTCCCCTTTATACGTTCATTCTATGTAATCCCTCAGATTAATTGGGAGATGTTTTTTTGAATAGGAACTCCTGAAAACTGATTGGTAACTATGGAGATGTTGTTGTCATTAGATACTTAAAATACTCAACATCATCGCCCTCTATAGAATTTTGGATTTACACTGAGTATACTAACGGCCTATAGTTGCTGACATCGACCTCTATTTTTCTTGAAGATGAAGTAATTTGGCCCTTTAACCCCTCGGGGGCGGTTTAGAGTGTGGACTTATTTCTGAAAAAGACTTTTGGGGTCACGGGGCCTTCACGCTAACTCCAAGGGGAGGGGGCGATATCCTCATCTTTTGTATATAGGGTTTTTGTCTTCACATTCCTTGAATTTTTGTGTGTGTGTTAGGTAAGACAATATGCAACAGGTTCGAAATAAAGATACCTAATGTTGCCTATGTGTCTTACCTCAACCTGTCGGTATTTTTACCATTTTAATGTTCACCCTTGAAATTTTTATTGATGAAGCCCAAAGGAAGGCGAAAAGTTGCCCCGTAAAAAAGTTACATTTGTTGCACTATTTTCCTTTTACCTAAATGGTTGAAGAAAAACCAGGCTGGCGAAGCGTTTCCAAATCACACACCCCGTTGGAAATAAATGGTTAAAATTACCGACACTGGAAATTAAAAACCCCATGCAGTAAATGTGATCCTTTATTTACTACGTTTCGCCCACACGTGGGGTTTTTCAAGTCACAAAAAAAATCTGAAGAATTGAACCTTATGCAACACAGGGAAACTTTTTTGAAGAAACGTTCGCCCACATGGCTTCTCAGTCCCAAAACAAAATAGAATGGGGTAAAGGAGGTAGAAGTATGAGGTAATCAGTCCCTCAACCCGGGTTTTGATGTGTTCAGTCCATCACTTTTGTAGTAAGTGCAGCAAGGGGCCCGAGAGGGGGTTTATATGCGGTGAATGGTGAAAAGGAGGGGGCGGGGTTTTAAAAAAGACTTCAACGCTTGCCCCAAAATTTGGGCGATGACCATTACATTGTGGCAGGTCCCCCTAAAATCCCGCCCCTCCTGCTTAAAATCTCTCACCCCGTAATAAGCCCCTCTCTGGCCCTTGCTGCACTTATACAAGAGTGATGTGAAACACATCGAATCCGGTTTAGGGACTGATTACCTCTTAATTCTACCTCCCCTTACCATTTCATTTTATTTGGGCGTGAAGCCCCTGGTGGCGAAAGTTCTTCAATAAAGATTCCCCCGTGTTGCATAAGTGTTCAATCTTAAATGTTGGTTTTCAAAACCTTCTCAAACAGATCTGTTTGTGACTTGAAAAAGCCCACTGTGTGGCCGAAACGTAGTTAATAAAGGATCACATTATTATGCACGTGTGTTTATATACCCACATGTTCCACAAAGTATCTCAACTTGTGCCTTTTCTAAATTATTTATCCGTGTCTTTTTCTACATTGTAAGGTCGATGCAATAGATAGGAGTGTAATGATGACATTGTTTTTTGTGTTATCTGCAGCACTCCGCGGCCTGTCTTCCAATCTGTGGGTGGGAACAACAAGGGTGGAAGATCCACTAATGGCCGTGTCCAGCCGCATGACGTTATCTCTCCACAACACGAGGAACTAATTCGGTTTTTCAATGAGTGTAAGTATTGCTTTTTTTTTTGTTTTCGAATGCGGGAGGTGTCTGGCGGGAGTAGATTTTAGATTTTGCCACCGAAGTGGCTGGTTTATTGTGTACCTCATATCCATCCTGTGGATGGTAGTGGCTTATTGTGTACCTCATATCCATCCTGTGGATGGTAGTGGCTAGTTTATTGTGTACCTCACATCCATCCTGTGGATGGTAGTGGCTAGTTTATTGTGTACCTCATATCCATCCTGTGGATGGTAGTGGCTAGTTTATTGTGTACCTCATATCCATCCTGTGGATGGTACTGGCAGGTTTATTGTGTACCTCATATCCATCCTGTGGATGGTAGTGGCTAGTTTATTGTGTACCTCATATCCATCCTGTGGATGGTAGCACAAGAATATATGGATACACAAAAGGCCTAGGAACTAGGCCCCAAAAGGGGTCAACAAAAGTACATCTGGATTATCTGCAGTTCACGTATCTGTGGTTGTTATGCATACTGAGTAACGTGATGTAGCCTCGTGTGTGTGTTAATGTCTGGCGGCTTCTTCATTGAATAACATTTATTATATGTGAATGGTATACAGTACCGACAAGATGAAAATTAGACACATGTACAACATCTGGGTATCTTTATTGTAGACGTTTCGCCATCCAGTGGCTCTATCAATGCAAATTCTAGGACTTAACTTGAAGATAGTAGAACTATGTACCAAAGATTAGGTAATCAGTCCTTTAGCCTTGGATTTGGTGTGAAGAGCACCGTAGTCGTGAAGATTCTGGGCACAGGCAAGAAGGCTGGCGCTTATGTACTTGCTGAGGGACTGATTACCTCACCCAGGTACCTACTTACTGCTAGGTGAACAGGGACAACAGTTGTCTCAAGGAGACGCTATATATATATATATTTTTTTCAGTACCATGAATGTTAAGATCCTGCAGTTGGTAATTTTATTGCGGTATCTGCTTTCATTTACCTAACATTCTCTCGTTAATTCTATCCCTTAATAACAGTTGAGACAGGGGCAGGATCTATATATGCTAGACTTTGATGTCTGTATTGCCATAACGTTTCGCCTTTTCCATACGTTACATAAGTGTCTCAATCTTCAACTTGTCGGTTTTCAAACCCGTTTCTCACATGTCTTAATCTTCAGCTTGTCAGCATTTTAAGGACCTACCTTGCTTGGGCCAGTAGGTCTTCTGCAGTGTTCCTCCATTCTTATGTTACCGGGGCAGACAAGGCTGGTTTGTGTGTCTAGCTTCGCCTTGGCATTTACGCTTCTTGTTGGCAAGCTTGTCAGTCATTATTTGTTGTCTGTATGTGTTTGGTAGATATACCATTGATATACCATACTACTACTAGTAGGTTATAAGTTCATTGTAATCCCTTACACACACACACACACACACACACACACACACCACACACACACACACACACACACACACACACACACACACACACACACACACACACACACTGGAACACTCTGTAGAGTGATGTAGTGGAGTCAGGATCTATACATAGCTTTAAGAAGAGGTATAATAAAGTTCATGGAGCAGAGAGAGAGTGGACTTAGTAGCGACAAGTGAAGAGGCGGGGCCAGGAGCTATGAATAGACTCCTGCAACCACAAATAGGTGAGTACACAGACACACACTCACCTACGTACATGACCTTTACTACAGAACCGGCTGGGAGCTCCTCCTTTATGAGGATGATGATGTGTTAGGTATCTCGTAGCAAGTGCTACAACATACATGTGGTGACACAGTTAAGCTCAGATACGTATATGTGTGTGTACTCACCTAATTGTGGCTACAGGGGTCGAGTTATAGCTCCTGGCCCCGTGTCTTAGCTGGTCGCTACTAGGTTTACACACTCCCTGCTCCATGAGCTTTATTATACCTCTTCTTAAAGCTGTGTATGGCTCCTACCTCCACTGAGAGAGAGAGAGAGAGAGAGAGAGAGAGAGAGAGAGAGAGAGAGAGAGAGAGAGAATTTGAACGTAGAGGACAAGATGTTATTTCTCTTTAGGCAGGGCCGAGGGGTCACTGCCCCTGCGGCCCTATCCCAAACCCGGCCTTCTGATCAGTCAGGTTGTTGGTGTTAGTCACACGGAAACCTAGGCACCACAGCCCGGCTGATCATAAGACTGGAGGAACATTGTAGCAGGCCTACTGGCCCATACCTAACAAGACCTCCTCAAAAACATTTTCCTAAACTTATCAAAGATATTAGCTTCACACTTGTCCACACTGAACGACATCTGCCACTTTTCAGACCAGTACAGTACTGTTTACAAATCTTCCCGGTGTTAAGTGGTACCCGTCTCAGAGTTTACAGTGTTTCAAAACGATTGACCCAATTTCATAAGAGTTTGTTTCACGATCAGGTCCATCATTTGAAACACTATATCGACCGTCTCTTTTTCATCGGTCAAGGTCGTTAATATTAATTATGCATAAAGCCACTAGAGGGAGAAACGTCTACAAATTAAAGATACCCAGATGTTGCACATGTGTATCAATCTTCAATGTGTATTTCTTCACCGTCGTTAATGTGAATTACGGATAATAATGAACGTAAAACTGGAACGCCACTTACAGAACTCAATATTTTCCGATAAATTCTCTAGTTGTTTCTTCACGTGTTTTTCCAACCAAAAATTTTTCTCCTATACTGTTAGTCATTTTTTGGACTCTTCTATCAAAAAATCTTATTAAAATCCAAATATATTTTTTTATGGTGGCTGGCAACCTCAGATGCTGTACTGAGTCATTAACTCGGTACAGTATCGTTAATTTTGTCAGATATGAACGACGGTTTTGTTACCCCGTATCGAGACTAATCAAATTACAGTCATTAAGTAGACTGCTTATATCATCTGTAATTAATTCTAACAGTTTGTCTACTGTTGATGTCAGGGTTATTTGACGGAACTGATTTATGACTCATGAAATCGTAATGACACGATTGCAAACAAACCATACCACGGGTGGGGATAGAACCCGCGGTCAGAGACTCTCATAACTCCAGATTTATCTCAGTTTTAACCCTTAAACTGTCCAAACGTAGATCTACGTTTTTTCAACATTTGAAAGTATGTAAAACACGTAAATCATCTTTGTGTTTTTTTTTGACATTTGAAAACGCGTAAAAAAAACTCTATTCTACGTTTTTAGGGGTTATATTTGAAAATCTGTAAGAAAACGTATATGTAAGTGAACGTAGATCTGCTTGGGCAGTTTAAGATGGTAATTGGTGGCCTGGTGGCTAAAGTTCCCACTTCACACACGGAGGGCCCGGGTTCGATTCCCGGCGGGTGGAAACATTTCAACACGTTTCCTTACACCTGTTGTCCTGTTCACCTAGCAGCAAATAGGTACCTGGGTGTTAGTGGACTGGTGTGGGTGGCATCCTGGGTGTTAGTGGACTGGTGTGGGTCGCATCCTGGGTGTTAGTGGACTGGTGTGGGTCGCATCCTGGGTGTTAGTGGACTGGTGTGGGTCACATCCTGGGTGTTAGTGGACTGGTGTGGGTGGCATCCTGGGTGTTAGTGGACTGGTGTGGGTGGCATCCTGGGTGTTAGTGGACTGGTGTGGGTGGCATCCTGGGTGTTAGTGGACTGGTGTGGGTGGCATCCTGGGCGTTAGTCGACTGGTGTGGGTCGCATCCTGGGGGACAAGATTAAGGACTCCAATGGAAATAAGTTAGACAGTCCTCGATGACGCACTGACTTTCTTGGGTTATCCTGGGTGGCTAACCCTCCGGGGTTAAAAATCCAAACAAAATCTTATCTTATCTTATTACACTAGCTGTCTCGCGCATCTTTCACAACAGTTTCGACTGATACCGTGGAACCCGCGGCAATGTGAGACACAGAGTCATGTTGACGGCAGTGAGGGGACTTGAGCTAGAGTTCATCACGGCCACGCTAGCTGGAGATTCGTCTGTAAAAACTTGCATTTGTGGTCACATTGGTGGCCTATGCTAACCTTCCTATGGTGTAGAAATATACCTAGTTGGACGAATCTTATTGTAACTATCTGGTCCAGTGGCTAACGTGACTGTCTGGAGTTCTGAGACTATTAGGCTTATTGGCCCATACTAGGCAGGTCCATCTCCCACCCAGACTCGGTCATGTGCTCTTTTTTCCCTCAAGGGAGGTTCCCTGACGCAGGTGAGGGGCTCTTGATCTAGGGAATTGGATCTGTACTCCAGTCCCCTGAATTAATACCTTCCATCCCAATTCGCTGTATAATCCTATGGGTTTAGCGTTCCCCCATTATTATTATTATTATTATTATTACGTATTATTATTATTATATACTTATTTAATATATTTTAAACCTACATAAGGTTCTTGCTTTAATAACGATATTCGGGAGTTTATTCCCACTCGTCCACAAATATTATCAAACCAGTGTTGACCTATATCATTTCTGGCTATTTTTTTCCCCCACTTGAAGCTGTTATTGCGAGTTCTGTCTTGGTTATTTTCAGCACGTTATTTATATGTATATATAACTGACGCACTGTGATGTGTTCCGTCGTGTTGATATTTTGTACCTGGAGAGACCTGCAGTGTTTACCTGGAGGGAGTTCCGGGGGTCAACGCCCTCCCTCCCGCGGCCCGGTCTGTGACCAGGCTTCATGTTAGGTAAATGTAACTAATGTGACATTTTATCGTGGCGATGTTTCGCTCACCAGGACTTTGCTAAGTATCTCTATTTATTTAGCATTTTGTCGGTGATTTTATTATTTTATGCTATTTTAATATACCATGACAAACCTAACTTAGTGTGAATATACGCCAGAGCTAGCTCTCTCTCTCTCTCTGTCTCTCTCTCTCTCTGTCTCTCTCTCTCTCTGTCTCTGTCTCTGTCTCTCTCTGTCTGTGTCTGTCTCTGTCTCTCTGTGTCTCTCTCTCTGTCTCTGTCTCTCTCTGTGTCTGTCTCTGTCTCTCTCTGTGTGTCTCTCTCTCTGTCTCTGTCTGTCTGTGT